ACCGTGTGTTAAAATTATTATTGAAATATACGAGCTTGCCGTAATGCTTAATATTTTAGTATTCTTTTTTCTAATAATATATACAGAATCATGAATTTTTTATTTTATGATAGGTCGATAGAAGTAAAAAACAGCTTCGAAAAATGAATACGAGACGTCTCGAAGGCAATCAGAGCCCCTTACCAAACCTAGAACATTACGCTTGGGTCATGCAATTCCTCCTTGCATTTCAGTGGAACGTTATTCCAATAGTATTAGTTAGACATCAGTACTGTTGGTTTGTATTTTCTACGGTAACATGTAATCTATGTACTCTCCTTGAATGTAGTTTTGTGACAGATTTGGAAACCGTCGTCTTCAGGTAGCTATTATGTTAAACTGGTCTCGGTCTGTTATTGCAAGATTTTTGAACAGGTTTCTGAAGACACAAATGGTATCCTGTAAAGTTTTTGGATGTTCTGGTTCATCCTACCTGGAAACGTCTTAACGAACGTCATCGGAAACAACATGATATAATCCCACTGCATATTGTTTGTGTACTGTCGTTCAAAACGATACACATCGATCCATTCTCAGTTAAAATGTATTGCCAGTGGAAACTCGCGGGAAAACAATGTTTGATGTTCGATGAATTGCATTACTTTTCATGAAGTACAAGCATTAGAGAATCTGTTGCTAACTATTCAGCACTCAGTTACAAACAAACCTTGCAACAGCTCTTTATACTACTGTACCCTGAAGTTACAATGAAACTTACGTGACGACACCCAAGTCACAATGACAAGCTGCCTTTCAAATAACAATACGTTGATATTTTCAAAAACAGAAGAATAAGATAAACAGTTTCGCATGTCATTTGTGTCGAAAAGCAATATGAACATCTGGGCGTCTACTCTATTATTTCAGATCTGTTTATACAATGGAAATGCCATTGTTAAAAATTATACGCTTTCTTAATGATAGTGCTAAAAAAAAAGTTTCACATTTAATTATCACCTGTCACTGTGATACTGTATCGTAAAGTAATAGTCAGACATGCTGGTCCCAACGATCTCAACCGTTGTATACTAACAACTCATTCTTTTTTCTTTCTTTTTTTGAGTGACGTTAATTACAATTTTTCATAAGTTTTAATACAAATAAACAACACCAAATGACAATAGGTGCAACTCTTGAATACATTTACAATGTAGCTAGAAGCTTTTTACCAAATTGATAACTAATTAATGAATCCAACTTTTGGTTAACATGATCATGAACATAAGACACAGAGGTGCTGATCAAAATACCACTGTTACGTTAATTACCTGTCACCAACTTTAGTGATACTATCATAAGCAAGGAACAAAGCAGATCTTTCGAAGAACTTTTGACGTATGAACTTACAAAACTTAGAAACTGGAACATGAACTGCATCATGAAAGACTCTAGGAATTGTCATCCATATATGCCACATTTACATTATCAATTGACACACGGATAGTTTCTTGATAAGTAGCATTCTGCGGCTTTTACCCGTTGGCACTGGACATTCTTCTAGCATGTAAAGAATGTTGTCTCTTTCCACCCATACGTAAGTACGCAAGTACTGTGTATTTAGTTTAAGAATAGCCCATAGGTTGAAAGTATACAATACCACGATTGTAACCACCATAAAACCCAAAGAAAGTGCAAGTAATAAATTACGCATATAGAGTGGTCGCTCCTAAAGACAAATATATTTTTCTTATCAATTGGGATTTTTTTGGGTGGCATTTAGCCATATTCCAGTTACATGGCGGCGGTCTGTTAATAATCGAGTCTGGACCAGGCAATCCAGTGGCCAACAGCATGAGCATCTACCTATGCAATTGAGATACGATGACATGTGTCAACCATAGCAAGTCTGACCACCTGATCCTGTTAGGAGCGTTATACGTCTTGCATGGGTTGCTGAAGGTCAATTCTAGTCTGGATTGTCACGGGTCAAACAACTAATTACAACCATTGTTTTTCTTTTCCACATTCTTTTTATTCATTTCACTTCAGCAGGTGTAGATACATATGTCATATCATTGTTTTACAAATCATATACAGTGATGCGCTCATAAAATGGACATGTCAGGTGTATAATTATATCTCTAATACATTGTTCAGAGGTTTCCATTTGGAATTAAATTAAGGCAAAGCATTGTTCTTACAAGCAACAATTCTTTCTACTTTGTACACATCTTTGACGATATTAGCGAGACAGTCAATGGATAGTTCATTCTGTTTTATACTTGAAGAATGAATATATTTTTGGCCAACAGGATAATGTGTGTTGCTAGTAGATTAGCTGAACTGTTGCAAAAGAGAATGTCTTGATCTGAAATGGGAACATCACAATGTGTGGGATTAATAAAGTGTTCAACCTTTCTCCAAAATTCCTGTACAAGATTACATTTTATGAATACATGTTGGAGGCTTTCTGGTTTAGATTGACAAAAAGAGCAAATATTTGTTTCAATTATCTTCATTTGCAACAACTCTTTTCTGGGATAAATTGCTCTGTTTATAAATCTATACTGAAAATCTAAAAGCTTTACATCCTTTGTGCAGTTTCTGTATTTTTTAAACACGATGTTCCATGAAATATCTATATTTAGTTCGTTTTGCCATTTCTGACAAACTGTAGGTGGGGTATCATTTGCTATAAGTTTGTCATATAAAATTCTACATTCCTTCATTTGAGATAGAAGGTCTTGAAGACTTGAGTTTAGTGAGAGGTTTTGAGTACTTACAGGATGAAATAAAAGAGTATTTTTCCAAGATTTGGGAATATTTAAGATGATTTTATTGTACTCTTAAACTGTTCCATTGATGCAGTAAAGTTTTTGTATTTCATTGAAAGACAAAAAAACATTTTCACCCCATATATCTCTTCTTGTATGAATATATCTGTTAAACCAATCTTCAATCAAGGAATTACTATGTCTAAATTGGTGGTTCAACCAAGATTTCTTCTGGTTGACAAGTATTTATCTTATGTTGTTGTTTATAATTTTTACTCCAAATAGATAAAACATCACTCCAAAATGGGTTATCAATTCTTGCATGACTGTGAATATTTGCACCAAGAAGAATTATTTGGTTGAATGGAAATAAACTGGGATTGTGAGTTGACGCTTTCTTTACATACCTTCTGAGGCAGGATAACTTCAGTGCATTTATAAAGGATTTGATATCTATCATTCTTAATCCACCTTCTTCATATTTTCTACATGTAGTTGTTCTCTTGATTTTATCCTTCTTGCCATTCCACATGAAATTATATACAATATTGTTCAGTTGATTAAGAAATTCCTTTGGGGGTGATGGTAACACCATAATCGAGTCTGAACCAGACACTCCAGTGATCAACAACATGAGCATCGATCTGCGCAATTGGGATACGATGACATGTGTCAACCAAATCAGTGAGTCTGACCGCCCGATCCCGTCAGTCGACTTCCACTAAATGGCTGAGTGGGTTGGGGGTTCCCGTTTTGCCGGACGCTTTTGTTATAGATACAAATTCACTGATGCGCGATACTCCCTTAAGCAATAGGGTATTAACTTATAGTCTGTTTCGGCCTAAGAAAGTACACACTGTAGCTTCATCTCGAGTTTTTATCTTGCACCAATTCAACATTTTTGGTACATTCTATCTTCATGATAAAATATATAAATACACATTTCGTACATTTTCAGAAAATAAGAAATGGTAACTGAAGACATAAATAAATATATACATAAATATTTTCTAAACTGAACTTGATCGTGATGGTGGTTGTGTATGTTCCTGGACTGACTGACTGACTGAGTTTGGTTTTACGCTGCTTTTAGTAATATTCCAGTAACATCACGGCGGGGGACACCAGAAATGGGCTTCACACATTGTATCCATGTGGGTATTCGAACCCGGGTCTTCGGCGTGACGAGCCAACGCTTTAACCATTAGGCTACCCCGACGCCCCTTATGTTCCTGGAACTGCTGAGAACATCACTGACGGTGTTGGCCGTTGCAGGACAACCGGTCTTACAACATTTCCAATGAACTCGGTCCCTTTTTGTGCTCTTAACCCTAAACTAGTAACCTAAATAGATTAAGTGTCAACCTACCTCCCCTCGAATTTGGAATGAACTGAATGTTAACTTGAGCGTTTGCCATTTTGCAATGAGCGAACCATGTCTACATTATATATTAAGAAATAATCATTTGAATAAGCTTCACTTAATTCAGCTAATATAATTCGAGTTCACTCAAATTAGTTACTAGAAATCGAGTTCACTCAAAACAAATTGGTGCCTTGTAAGAGTTCGAATTCAGTCTGCCAAACGCTCCTGTCCCCCAAATGACTATTGGTGACAACTACTCACTGAAAACAGACTATAGCCGGCAAACCAGCGGACCGTTACTCTTTATCCGTCATCATCACATCAGCTGTCCGGCAAAGTGGGGTATGACCAGTGGGTTGTGCTGGCGATTAGGTGCACATCCTGAATGGAGACTCAACCCAAAAGGTACTTTACTAGGAAAGTGTAATCCCAAATATAACATATGTTACATTTGACCACTTTCTAACATTGTGTATGCATATAGTAAGTCATTTAACGCCAACAACTAAAGTTAGTATGCTAGTGAGAAAATCCTGATAACTAAGGTAAGTGCGTGGATAAGCTAACACTGCAAATTAACCTTAGTGTGCCAATAGGTTAATACTGATAACTGTAACATACGGGCTCGTACGTACGTACAATTTGTCCCTCGGGGTAGAATACATGTTTATTCATAAACTGAAAGCCATTACGCCATAAAATAACCTTCTTTGACATTTGGAATCAATCATGATTAATCTATTTCTGTGGATAGTCAAAACTGGTTATATTTAGCACCGACGTTTCATGTTTACGAGCACTTAGTTCTCACCATGCAGAAAGGTCTTCAGTGAATTTCTACTCTATTGCTGAAATGAATGCTGGTCTTTTTGTTGTTTCAGATCCTGATTTTTGCGAACCTCTTGCCGTCCCAGGCAGATTCTCTCTACACTACTTTCAGCTGTACCGATGGTTGCAGCATGAAACTGACTGCGATTCAGAGCCTTAAAGACTATGTTGAATACTGCTGATGAACGCCTTCCGATGTAACAAATCGTATTTCTCAATTAACTTTCAGGCACAGCAACATGGCACTTTTGTTATATTTTCCACCGACGGTAAACCTATTGTGAATAGTGGAAGTTTCAGACAAGATTTTCTGAATCATGATTACTTCCACGTGTTCCTTTAAATGATCCAAGCCCTTAGAAATATTGGATAGAACTAGTCTTTTATTCATGTATTTCGTAAGAGACAACGTCGAGGGGTTCAAGGGTCGAGTGGTCAAGACTTGCAAAATAGGCTGATGCGTGTCAAGTATCCCAGTTGCAACTTCATCTCATCAAGACTCGGTTTGTTACCGACTTCCTAGTATTCTATTACTTGGATATTGTGTACAGAAATATTAACAACAGACAGTTGTATCCTCATTATCGTTGAAAATTGAGTTTAGTTTTACGCCGCACTCTGCGAAATATCATATCGTTGGGAGTATCATCAATGCAAGTGATGCTACCCTACCAGCCTCTTGATTCAATCCCCAGACTAAACCATATTGGTCAAAAGAGTGAGTGAGTTTAGTTTTACGCCGCACTCAGCAATATTCCAGCTATATGGCGGCGGTCTGTAAATAATCGAGTCTGGACCAAACAATTCAGTGATCAACAGCATGAGCATCGCTCTACGCAATGGGGATATGATGACGTGTGTCAACCAAATCAGCGAGCCTGACCACCCGAACCCGTTAGTCGCCTCTTACGACAAGCATGGGTTACTGAAGATCAAATCTAACCAGGATCTTCACGGGTCTCGATGAAAAGAAACCATTGCAACATGACAGCAGTACTAACTACAAGACGAGTTACAAAATCGAACTTAACTGTGGTCAAAGCCAAACATGAAAAAAGAAGATTGAACATTATAGCAACGAATTCAATGTGACCCGTTTAACATTAGAAACACACACAATATCTGTGCCCCAGACCATGACCGTCACAAAGGTTCTTTGTTAATAAAGACTTCACATTGGCACGTACCAAAAATAACCCACAGTTATCTCTGCTGGATCCTGTGGACGAACGCTCACACTTCTGACACCATGTTAGCACCCACGGGAGTCGGATAATTCACTTTCCTTCGCACCAATGACACAACACGTCATGTTTGGATCATGCGCCATTTAATACACCCAGCATCCCTAGCTACATCCGGCTCCGTACACTTTCACCTATACTGCACAGAGTAATCGGTATGGTTAGCAAGTTAATTCAAAGCAACGAAAACCAGAAAAATTGTCATCACATGTTAAACAGTAAATGTTAACTGAGCTGACTGCTCAACAATTTGGTCATAAAAACTTGGCGTAACAATAAGTACGGAAAAATAATCTACTTTGTACCCAATATCACCTAATATATTTGATTAAATTCAATAAATACATTTTCTCTATTCACGGCGTGATGCTATGGTTGGTTCAGTACATACACCTGGATGCGATCATGCTAATCGTCACATTAATAAACTCATTTCATTGACCGCAAATACACGAAACGCCATGCGCGAGATCGCTCACGTTAAACTAATTTCATTGACCGCAAATATTTGGAACGCTCACATTATCAGTCACTTGATTGCGTGGTACAAGATTCGCTTATTTACAGGTTCTCATCTCGTGCGGCATTAATGCATGATGGAATGTAGATCACCTGTTGACTTGAACCCGTATGTGTAAATATTAAGCACAATGAAAGCGACAAAATGTTCAGATGTTTACAATATTTATACTCAAGGAGTATATTTCTGTCTATAGTCACAGCTGCAACACCTAAAATGATAGCTGGAGTCGTGCAACCATTTAACGGATACATGTATAAGTCTTATGAAATAAAACCTGAAAAGAAATATACGTGATGGAAAAAATACAAAGCAACAAGCTAGATAAGTTTTTAGGGCTCCTTTTAGGAGACCTATTGTAATCGTTCGGATTATTATTATTATTATTAATATGTATTATTATTCCGCCGATTTTTGTACCAAACATACCTCCTAAAACAATGCTCCGAATCGCTTATAAAATATCACACAGATGCCCACCGAGGTGAAGATATTCCCCTTAAAAATCTCTAGGCTCTAGGCACAATAGCAAAGGGGAGATAATTCAAATTAATTCCAAAATGTCAAAGTTTGACAGCAAATATCTCAAGAACTAATTTTTCTAACACTTCCAAATCTCTTGTACAGATGTACAATCGAATTCCCAACAATTTTGCCTGACGGGTCAAGTCGCTAAAATGTACCCTTTGGCAGTTATTTTTGTTTTCAGTTTTTGGCCATGTTTTTCAGCAGTTTTCTGAGTAGTTTGCTCCCAAAATGTGCTGAGTTCGAACCATCAGCTCTAGACAATCCAAACTTTCCACAACTGATATCCAGTAGCCATTGTGGAAATTCTGCACAGACCCAAGAACAACTGAGATACAGCCTTTTAAAGAGGGAACAATTTCTTCTCCAGAACTTCTTAAAAAGGTACATGACCCCCGAGACCCCGGCTGTATTTGGAAGATCCGCTCGCCAGTTAAAACGTGTTCTGGCTCCGTTTTAGACGATGATTTCTTGCCCTCAAATACAATAGATAGAACTAAAGCCAAGGAGCCCACGTCGTTGCTTGAAACTATATTTTTTCATTATTTCACAAGACATTTGTGACCTAACCTTGAATTCCAATATTTTGCCAGGATACCAATCTGATCATTATACTATTTCAAACTCTCTTAACCAAGTAAGAGGGAGAGGTTATTGGAAGTTTAATAATTCCTTGCTTCTATACCCACATTATGAAAAAAGTTAAAAATACAACAAAAGAAACCATTAATGAATAGCTTATTTCTAGAAGCCCTACTAATGAAAATAAGAAGTAAGAGTGAGTGAGCGAGTTAGGATTTTAAGTCACATCGGCAATATTTCAGCCATATCGTGACTATAAATAAGTTTTGAATTCACCATAAATACATGTAAATAATAAACACATACTAGGGACCATGGGGACGTACATTACTTTTGCTACTTGCATAGACCCTAGCTGGATTTACATCATCCCTTCAGGTGTCAGCAATTTTTGACAATCTAGCTATTATCAAAAGAACATATATACTACGATTAGAAATAATAGTAGGTATGAATCTACCTTGAATGCTTTGGGACTTACGTACCCTCTCAGGAGGACAATAATTTTACAATACTTCAACCCCCTTTGAGGGTACGAAGAGGTAAGAGTATATCCTATTCTACACATCTTTAAAAACGTAAAAAGAATAGAACTGATGAAATAGAATCTAGAATAAAGACTCTTGAAGAAAATATAAGAAGAGATTTTCAGTGTTAATTTGCTAGTTGAACTTTCAAAACACAAAACTGTGCTTGAACAGAGAGGAATATCAATGGGAAATAGACTGCTCTGGTAAAATCTTCTGTAAAAATCTTTTTTCTGCTGATAAATAAGACGAAAAAGACTTTATCCCCCTAGATCATATTCTAACCCCAACCCTTAATGATGAATTAAGATTTGGAAAAAGGGATTGATATGAATGAAATTTCCTATGCAATTAAGAATATGAAAAATAACAAAAGCTCCGGAATTGTCTATAACCATGAAAAGAAGTGTAATAACTTGCATACCTAAAGCGAACAGAGATAAAACACTTTTGAGAACCTGGAGACCTATTACTTTATTGGATGCACTTTATAAACTTATTAGCACTTGTATCACTAATCGTGTAAACAAAACCTTGAATTCTCTAGTACATGCTAATCAAACAGGCTTTATTCCAGGTAGAACTCTTAGTGAAAACACAAGATTACTTTATGATATAATGTTTGAAACTAATAAAAGAAATATGCCAGGACTAATTCTCGTAATATATTTTGAGCAGGTTTTCGATACAGTATGCAAAGAGTTCTTGAATAATGTTTTAGCTAAATTTGGTTTTGGTCTTGAAATCACTCATTGGATAAATATACTGACATATGAAACAACATCCTGTGTCATCCAACATGGTAACCGTAAATGAACGCGGATGCAGGCAAGGTGACCCTCTGTCACCGTACCTCTTTATTTTTGTTGCTGAAATACTTGGCTGTATGATTAGAAGTAATGAGAACATAAAAGATATTGCTATTGGCAATAATGTGTATAAATCAAACCAATATGCAGATGATACGGAACTATTTCTTGATGAGAATAAACACAGCTTAAAGGCTGCTATTGATGAAATTCATGCTTTTTATAAAATGTCATGACTTAAACATTGATAAGACAAAAGCAATATGAATTGGATCAAAGAGAAATAGTATGGATATACTATGTAAAGACATCAAAACAGAATGGCAAAAGGGTGTGTTCGAAGTCTTGGGAATTAAATTCCACACAGATCTTAACAATTTGATAATATCAATTACATCTTATCTCAACCCCTTTGGTTGAATCATCAGTTCAAAGATAAAACCCTCTTTATACAAAATTGGTATCATAAAGCGCTGCATTGTGTCTGTAACACAAGAGGCCTAATGCCTTTCAATGAATTGAAAAACGTATATGATATCAGGGGAACTTTCTTAGATTATCACAGACTGTTATGTAGTATCCCTCCTAAGTGGAAACAGTGCATTAACCAGCAAACGTGTATTATAAAATCTTACCTGACCATTGGAAACAGTTTACCTGACTTGCTTAAGCCTGGAAAGGGTTCCATATATTTTTATGACAATATCATCACCTGTAATACCTGCCCAACAGTGGAAACGGGTGGAAAACTTTAATCTTACCTCTCCAAACTGGAAAAATATATTTCTCCAGTACAGGTGTTGTACACAAGATGTAAAACTTTTAGAATTTAAATTTAGATTTCTACACTGCATAGTCTACACTAGGAAGGAAGTAAAGGCTACGAACCCAGTAAGCGATGGTATCTGCTCTTATTGTAAAACTGGGAAGGAAAGACTTCGCTCATGTTTTCCTTCAATGTGAATATGTAAAACAATTTTGAGTGAGTCTGGAACTATTTTTGAATACCCACATTA